AGTCCTTTTCCTTACATTTCTCCATCCTGTCAGAATTTTGAGCATGCACGTATACATGCCTGGCATGCACACAGTCCTTTTCCGTCCAGTTCTCCATCCAAGCAAGATTCTGGGTGTGAGTGTGCACCCAGCATGTTTTTCAAGCCAGTAGGGTCATGATTTGAACCCTGGCCAGCCCTATGGGATCCAGCTTCCTCTGTGCAGCACTTGACCACTGCACAGTAGGGCCGGCCTATGTATTTTTTTTTTTTTTTTGAGAGGTTTTCGCTATAGGCCGCGTGTGCTCACCAGACAGACAGAGAGAGACATAGAGACAGAAAGCAAGAAATCACCCCCCAGAGGGGATGGTCACACCTCAGTCCCTTCTCCTCCATTCTCTCGGGATCTTGGGCACACACGCACATGCGCCCAGCGTGAGTTTTAAGCCACCGGGTCTGGGACATGGACCGCAGTCAACTACGTGGGAGTCCAGCGACATAGCCATTACGCTAACTGCTGGTTCCCAACACTTCTTACCTAGCTTTATGCCTTTTTCTCTGTAAACACATTCTAGGACAGACATTTGTCTCTATCTTTTCCTACCAAATAACACCTCCATCATATATGGCTTTTGGGGATTTTTCCCTAATTGTATTCTTTTTCTGTTTTTCTTTCTTTTCTTTACCCCATTTTGTGTTTTCTGTTTCTCCGCGGCACTATGGTATTTCTGGAAAACTCAGAACTGAAGACAGACTTAGTTCTCTATTAGATTCAGACCTAGAAACAGACTTCTAAGAGGTCTGGGCATAATATTTCCCTCAGAAACACCTGAGGGGGTTGAAGATCCAGACGTTGCCATTGAATTGTTGAACTTTCAGTACTTGCTGTTGTCTTGCCAGTACCTACAACTACCTGGGAAAAAAGACAAACCAGATGTTGGAGGCTTTTGAACAAAAGGACTTCTCTTCAGCCCTGAACTACCAGGTAAGTTTTTTCTTCTTTCCACATAAATCACAGCCTTTTTCCTTCCCCACTTGAGGATTCTCTGTCCTTCTCTGTCCTACGTGGGAGTCCAGTGACATAGCCATTACGCTAGCTGCTGGTTCCTTGCAAATTCATATTCTGACATTTTTTTTTTCTAATTTGCCAGAGGATATATTTGCTTGCTAGAAAGAGATAGAGATAGAAAGAGAGGGTCTAGCAGATGGTATAATGGTTACATCGCTGGACTTCCACATAGTCAACCATGGTTCAAGTCCTGGACTCAGCAGCTTAAACCTCAGGCCGGACACATGTGTATATATGCCCAAAACTCTGAGAGAAGAATGGAGGAGAAGGGACATAGCCATGCCCCCAGGAGGGTGATTCCTCTCTTGCTCTCTCTCTGTCTCTCTGGCAAGCATATGTACCCTATAGCAAAAAATCTCAAAAAACAAAAGAGAGAGAGAGAAGGAAAAAGCACCCCCCACTCCAGTAGGACATGGTCATGCAGTAATTCATTTGCCTCTCTTTTTATCTCCCATCAAGGTATTTTGAGCATGCACATATACATTTCTGGTATGTTTTTCAAGCCACCAGGGACATGATTTGAACCAGATGGGATTTGAACCCACCATGTGGGAACCAGTTCCCTTAACCACTAGGCCACAGAGCAGCCTAATGCTGACCAGTTTGGGTTTTTTTTAAGAATTATTTATTTGTTTGTTTGTTGTTGTTGTTGTTGTTGTTGTTAGTTTAATTTGACCAGAGGGAGACAGAGAGAGAGAGAAAGAGGTGAGAAAGCAAGCTGCCAGGTCCAGGACTCAAAGCACAGTTGGCCATGTGCGAGTCCAGTTGCTTAACCACCATGCTACCTGCCGGGCCCAACTGATCAGTTTTTTTTAATAGCATTTATGGAAAATGAGGATCGAGAAATTGATTCTTACAAATTTTATCCTTGGCCAAGTAAACCTGAGGATATTTTGGTACCCCAGAGGTACATGTACCACACGATTTGAAAACCGCTGCTCCAGTTGATAAGTTTACCTACATAAACTGAATGGCTAGGGAGTGCGTTCTCCATCTTCACTTTCATGGATCAAGAGCCCAGGCCTGTGTATCTGGAAGGACCTGTCCTTATCCCACGTGGATCGTGACCATTATCCGTGGCTATTTTTCTCCACTCTGACAGACCATCAGAAAACCAAGCTGTGCAGACCTGTGGGAAGTTTTTGTCAGTTGATCTCTAAATTCTTTATTCAAGAAGTCTTTAGAAAGTTCACAAGAAATACATATTATGGAAAAACTATGCAAGAGTTTCCTTTTTTTTTTGGTGGGGAGACACCAAAACTAGCTTATTCTTTTTTTTTTTTTTCTTTTGAAGAGGTTTTTGCTATAGGGCACATGCACTCACCAGAAAAACAGAGATAAAGAGATTTTTGCTCTAGAGGGACTCAGCAATGCTGCAAAGATATGAAGAGGTTTTTGCTATAGGGCACATGCACTCACCAGAAAAACAGAGAGAGTGAAAAATCACCCCCCAGGTGGGATGGCCATGCTGCAATTCCTTCTCCTCTATTCTCCTCTCAGGATCTTGGCCATGCACGCATATGTGCCCAGCGTGAGTTGAAGCCGCTAGGTCTAGTACTGGAACCATGGATGACTACATGGGAGCCCAGCGACATAGCCATTACACCAACTGCTGGTCTCACTAGCTTGTTCTTTAATTCCATTTTTCACAAACTTTTTGAAACCCCTTTGTATTATTTTCACAGTTTGGTAAGTCTGACTCTAGATTTGTTTGTTCCTTTCTAGTTTTGTATCCAGAGATTCATCAACTTTGTGGTCAAACTAGGTAAGTTGCACATCTGTCCCTACTTTGCTGCTGGAGCAGGTAAAGGAAGTAGGACACCATTGCTGTCCCTGAGGGTTCAACAAGAGCACATGTTCATGCTTTCTTGCAAGCAGAGTTCTATTGCCACTATTAAACTTCAAGGCCAACCATATAAAATAGTGAAGTAAACCTGTTTGGAAGGTCTTGGGCAGCCTTCTACAAATCTCTCTCCTCCGTTTGAGCACACCGTTCATGCACACATATGTGCATGCATCACATGCGCGTGCACACACACACACACACACACACACACAGACATGCTCCATCTCCTATTCCTTCTCGCCTACACCAACAGCACTCCCCCCCCTTTGGTTGCCTATGCTCATTAATATTCTGCTACTGTACTGTGGCTGATTTCAGTCTAAGTGCTTGGAGAAAGGCAGCCAGAATACAGATCTTAGTAAATTATAAATGACTGACAGCTCTCCTATGAGTATTTGCCATTTAAAAAGAGTATTTTTAACATAAGTAAGCTTAAGTGAATGGAGCTTTGGATAATATGATGAATTAAAATTTAGAAGAAATACAGAGAATTTGAGCAGAGAAACTTTTCGGTGTCTGTTAAATCTTGTTCCATGACACATGACAAATACCACCATTCACTCCACTTCTTCAAGAGATTGGCCCTTGGGCAAGTGAACCTGGGTCAAGTCCAGAAGAGTTTTAAGTTTCTTCTTGGCAACCTTCCCACCTCTTTAGAGCCTCTCTGCATCCTGGCAACTCCTGCCTCTCCTCAAGCACCAATTATATCTGATGCTGCTCACTCCCGCTGGGCTCTCAACCAACACTTCTATTTTTTTATTAAGAGAGATATTTTTTTTGCTATAGAGCAACAGAGAAACAGACAGAAAGCAAGAAATCACCCCATGGGGAGATGGTCTTGTCTACCACAATCCCTTCTACTCTATTCTCCTCTTGGAATTTTGAGCAGGCATGCACATGCAACCAGTGTGTTTTAAGCTGCCGGGTCCAGGACTCGAACTACAGTTGACTACATGGGATTCCAGCGACATAACCATTACACCATGTGCTGATCTCTCTTAACCTAGACTTTTTTTTTAAGAGAGATTTTTGCTATAGGGCACATGCACTCACCAAAGAGACAGAGAGACAGAAAGTGAGAAATCACTTCCCATGGGGGATGACCCTGCCCACTCCCTTCTCCTCCATTCTTTTCTCAGGATCTTGGGCACACACACACATGTACCCAGCATGAGTTTTTTAAGTCACCATGTTTGGTACTTGAACCGCAATCAACTATGTGGGAGTCCAGTGACATAACCATTACACCATCTGCTGGTCCCTCAACCAACACTCTTAATCCTTCAAAGACAACACTTCCATTTGCATTTCCACCCTTGTGATTTATGTAGTATTTTATGTCACTGATGCTATTATTTACTTACTAGTATGTCCTTGTTCTTTTCACAAAATTGTATGAGGGGTCGGCAGGTGGCATGGTGGTTAAGGGCGCTAGACTTCCACATGGCCAACTGTGGTTCAAGTCCTGGACTTGGTGACTTGCTTTCTCACTTTCTCTTTCACTCACCCTCTCTCTTTGTCCCTCTCTTCAAATTTAAATAAATAAATAAACAAACGTAAGGTGCTGGCAGGTTACATAGTGGTTAAAGGCGCTTGATTCCCATATGGCCGACCATGGTTCAAGCCCAGACCTGGCAGCTTGCTTTCCCACTTTGCCTTTCTCTCTCTCTGTCTCTCTCTGGTCAAATTGAAAGATAGTAATAACAGGGACCAGTGGGTGGCATGGTGGTTAAAGGCGCTTGATTCCCATATGGCCGACCATGGTTCAAGCCCAGACCTGGCAGCTTGCTTTCCCACTTTGCCTTTCTCTCTCTCTGTCTCTCTGGTTAAATTAAAAAAAAAAAATGAATGAATAAATAAAGTTAAATAAATAATTTTTAAAAAAAGAAACCAGTCAAATTAATAAATGCAGAAGGTATATTTAAAAAATAATAACAACAAATGGAATTAAATAAATAATTCTTTTTTAAAATAAAATAAACTTAAATAAAATAATTCTTTCAAAAAACATTGTATATGTGGTGTGATATTTATTATATGTCCCTAAAGTATTTTAAAGTAGATATTGAACTATTAAAATTTTAGAAAACTAAAAGTTTACCTATGTATCACATAAGATCATCTTGCTTACCAGGAGAAATACTGCAAGAGCTTTATAAAACATCACCTTAAGATATTAGCTGAAATATTCTTTGGCAGAATATTTTAAATTTGTTTATGAGAGGGCACATGCTCTCCCCAGGGAAAGAAAGAGATAAGAGAAAGTACCCCTAATGGGGCATAGTCACCAGTCACGCAGCAATCCCTTTTTTTCTCTTTCTCCATGTTATCAGGATCCTGTACACACGCACACACACACACACACGTACACACACACACACACACATGCCCAGCATGTTTTTCAAACCTCTGGGGCCAGCATTCAAAGCAGGTTTTGCCATGTTGTATCTGGCTCCCTATGCACAGGGCCTAACTCCATGCTACTAAGCTTGGTCAATATTTGCATTTCAAAAGGGGACTCTTGAATATAGTTTTGTTATGATTTAAAAGAATATATCCAGGGACCAGCAATTGGCATAATGGCTACGTCACTGGACTCCCATGTAGTCAACTGCAGTTCAAGTCCTGGACCCGGTGGCTTGAATTCACGCCAGGCGCATGTGTATGCATGCCCAAGATTCCAAGAGGAGAATGGAGGAGAAGGGATTGCGGCCTGGCCATCCCCCCTGGGAGGTTATTTCTTGCTTTCTATCTCTGTCTCTCTGTCTTTCTGGTGAGCACACATGCCCTATAGCAAAAAACTTTCAAAAAAAAAAAAAAAAACATGTCCTTAAAAACTCATTGTGGGGGAACCAGCAGTTAGCGTAATGGCTATGTCGCTGGACTCCCACGTAGTCCCGGACCCAGTGGCTTAAAAACTCACACCGGGCGCGTGTGCGTGCGTGCCCAACATCCCGAGAGGAGAATGGAGGAGAAGGGATTGCGGCGTGACCATCCCCTCTGGGGGGTGATTAAAAAAAATCTCTATTGCTCCCTCTGTCTGGCAAACGCACGCGCCCTATAGCAAAAAAAAAACCTCCAAAAAAAAAAAAACTCATTGTAGGGGGTCTGGTGGTTAAAAGTATTGGACTCCTACATAGCTAACTGCAGTTTGATTCCTAAACCTGGCAGTTTTCTCTCTCCCTCTCTCTTGTGAGTGCATGTGCCCTATGGCAGGTTGAAAATAATAGTAATAATAATAATAAATAATATAATTATTAACTAAATAAATAAACCTATTGCAGGCTTCATTGGACATTAGGATTTTCATGGTTTAGTCCAGAGAAAATTTATTTAAATAAACTAGTAGTTTTATTAGGAGGGCAGCTCCCTCTTGCACCTATTCATAACAAGCCTAGAAGAATCATTTTGTATTCATTAAACTTTATTCTCATATATTTAATCACGCTATTATATTTCTTCCTTATCCTCAGTTGTTACATTACTAAGTAAATATAACAAAAACAAGTTTCTTATATTTTGAATCCAAAAGTAATAGCTAGCTAAGAAAACAAATCACAAATATTTCAGGTATTAGATGCTAAGGATCATAATAGATAATTACTAGTTATGTTTTTTGTATATTAACAATATACCTGCTTTTTCATTTGCTTCTTCAATCTGAAGTCTTTGTCTTTCTTCCATTCTGAAAAAGTCTTTATAGTGAATATTGTCTTTTAAAAGCCTACTAGGTATATTTTAAATATTCTCAAATCTATAATTTTTTTTCTATAAGACAAACAAATGCTAAATCCTTGAAAGTTTGGCCTGTGGTGCAGAGAGGGTCTATAGTTGGGAGAGATCATCCCAGAAATTATGTTTTGTTAGTCTTTGAAAAATAGGCAAACTTTTTTCTTTTTAGAAAGAGATTTTTGCCAGAAGGCACATGTGCTCACCCGGGAAAGAGAGAGAGAGAAATAGAAAGCAAGATATCACCCACCAAAGGGGATGGCCATGCCACAATCCCTTCTCATCCATTCTCCCTCAGAATTTTGGGCATACATGCACATGTGCCCAGCATGAGTTTCAAGCCACTGGATCCGAGACTTGAACCATAGTCAACTACATGGGAGCCCAGCAACATAACCATTATGCCATCTGCTGGCCCCAAATCTGTACTTTTTTTCTTAAGGATTTTGCCATAGAGTGAATGCTTTTGCCAGAAAGAGAGAAAGACAATGAGAGGGAACATGAGAAATCACTCCCCAGGGAGAACAGCCATGCCACAATCTCTTCTCTTCTATTTTCCTCTCAGGATTTTGGGCATGCATGCACATGTGCTCAGCCAAGTCTGAATCTTAATGTTTTTATATTTAACATATCCTTCTGTATAGCATTGTGGATTATTTCCTAAGCTCTATCTACAAAATCACTAATTATTTCTTTGGCTATATTTTCTATTGTTTTATTTCCCTGAACATATATTTTTCACTTCCCATATTTCTTTTTGGTTTTTCTCTTTTTTGTATTCCTTCAGGTTTTCCCCATAGAGCTCATGTGCTCATCAAAGAGAGACAAAAAGAGAGAAAGTGAAAAGTCACCCTCCAGGGGTGTTGGCCATGCTGCAGTCCCTTCTCCATTCTTCTCTCTGGATTTTGGGTATGCATACACACAAACCTGTCTTGATTTTCAAGCTTTTGGATCCAGGACTCAAATCATGAAATCAGCCATGTGGAATCCAACCACCTTAACCACCACACCACTAACTGGCCCCAGAAAATGTGTAATCTTTTATTTTTGCCTTATCCTATTGCATTAGTCACTGTTACTACATGATCTCTTTGAGATATTTGTGGGGAAGTGAACAGTACCAATCACGTTTCCTCATTTCTTTTGCTTATCTAGGTTTTGGAGTATCACAGACCAAAGCCATCATGACTCTGGTGTCTGGGATTCCAATGGGACCACCGCGTCTTCCACTGCAGAAAGCCTCCAAGGAGTTTACCGATAGTGCTGAAGCTAAACTGAAGAGCCTGGATTTCCTCTCCCTCACTGGCTTCAAGGATAGAAACATGGAAGCCTGTAGCTAGTGCCTCTCTATCAAATCAGAATGTGTACTCTGAGACAGAGAACCTCCGTTAATAGTACATACTTTTCTCAGGGATTTTTAGGAGAACTTGAACTAAACTCTTCTAGCAAATGAAATCTCACATCAATCAAGAAGTATTTAAGTATCTACTCTGAGGCTAAAGAAGTTTTATTTTGTGAGGGGGCAAAAACTCTAGGAGTCATGAGCCCTAAGGATTTGATTCACAAAATGCTTGAAGAGCCATTTCTGTTTATATGGATGAAATGGAATCAAGAAAATTATAACTGATTTTTTCCATCTGTGCTTGGGAGCTGCCATTATCTTGGTTTCTGGCTCTTAATCCTATTATAAAGTTTTCTAATTTTAAACTACCATAATGTACTTTCATTTTAATAAGTATTCGGAATCTAGGAAAACCCTCAGCTACTTACTGCATTAGGCAGGCACTTTAACTTCAATACCAAATTACAACTTGACTCAACGATGCACAAGTATTCATACTACACCAGTTTACTTCGTTGCTCAGTCTAATTATAGAACAGGTCATTTCAGAATAATTGCAATGTCACAGTTTTCCCCGAAAACATCAAGTCAAGTGAGGACTCGCTTCAGTTCCTACAACTAAAGGACCCTTGAGGGTGGTTTTCACATAACAAAGGAAGGCCAAATTAATTTTTTCGTGAAGAGAAATTGGGTGTCCAAATAAAGTGAATTTACACATCCCCTTCTTATAAGGAGAACCTCTCAAAGTTTCAGAGAACCAATGGTCTCTTTCCTGGGCACCACAAACTTCTCCACCCAACTGAGAGGGGTGTCTCCCCACAGCATTCTGAATTGTAATTAAAGCCAGCTTCCCTTCTAGGTGAGCCCTGTGGTTACTGTTTCGTAGCTGTCAAACTTTCAGGCAGTTACTGTTCTGTAGTGATAGACGTTTTAGGGAGGCTCCAAAGATCTCACAGCTTTGTCGATGCTCCTGCTTTCGTTCTTTTTTTTCTCTGTAACTGTTATAATCCATTCCATTGCTAATAACAGAAAATATCAAAAGCTGGGTGACTTATAGAGATTTAAGGCTGACCCCATAGCCTAGTGGTTACGAAAATTAGACCCCACAGGGCCAACCATCTGTTCAATTCCGGCCCTAGCAGCTTGAAATGCATGTCAGGCTCTGTGCCTGCGTGCCCCAAATCTTGGCAAGATGGAGAAGCAGAGGAGAAGGGATTGTGGTGTACCCACACACTATCAAGGGAGTACTCTTGGTCTCTGGTGAATGCACCCTCTGACAATTTTTTTTTTTTTTTTAAAAAGAGGTTTATTCAGCTCAGTTTGGAGTTTCCAAGGTCCAGGGGCCAACATCTGGTGAGGGTTTTCCTATAAATAGGGTCCCAAAGCTGTGCAAGACATCTCATTGTGAAAGAACAGGAGCATATATTTCTGTGCCCATTCATATGTCTTCTGGTCTTATTCCCTGTCCTTATCAGCCCATCAGAAGTCACTCCTAGAGGCCACCCTAGTCAATGACTCCCAAATGTTCTACCTTTCAACACTGTGAAGTTACAAAATTTCCTCTTAATACTTCTTTTTTTAGAATTTTATTTGGGAACCAGCAGTTAGCGTAATGGCTATGTCGCTGGACTCCCACGTAGTCGACCACGGTTCGCGTCCCGGACCCAGTGGCTTAAAACTCACGCCGGGTGCGTAAGGACTCAAACCGTAGTCGGCCATGTGGGAATCCAACGCCTTTAACCACCACACCATCTGCCAGCCCTCCTTTTACTACTTCTGAAACCAAACCTCAACACATGAACTTTTGGGAGTCATTCACACTACAGCATTAAGATAGCATTGGGAAAACCAGCAGGTGGTGTGGTGGTTAAGGCACTGGAAACTCCCACATGGCCAGCCATGGTTCAAGTCCCAGACCTGGTGGATTGCTTTCTCACTTTCCCTATCTCTGTGTGTGTCTCTCTCAGCTCAAATTAAAATAAATGAATGAATAAATTTTAAAAATAAAGGAAAAAAATAGGATTAAGATATTTAATCTCCCTTCTAATTAGAAAGTGAATTGACAGTCAACTTGTAGTAAATTTATTTATTTGTTTGTTTGTTTATTTATTTTTGGAGAGGTTTTTGCTATAGGGCACGTGTGCTCACCAGAAAGACAGAGAGAGACAGAAAGGGAGAAATCACCCCAGAGGGGATGGCCACAACTCAATCCCCTCTCCTCCATTCTCTTCTTGGGATCTTGGGCACACACACACACGCACCCAGCATGAGGTTTTTTGTTTTTGTTTTTTTTTTATTAGCACAAACACATTTATTTACTAAGCAAAGGGATGATCCTAATTAAATCAACACTTGGAAATAGTTATATGTAAAATGTTTGCGATAAAGGTAATTGAACACAGTAATGAAAAAAAAAGTAGTATGGAGATTTGCTCATTGAACTGAGCTTGATCATTCTCGCAGCTAATTCCTGTCTGAAGTGATGATGGAATTTTTATTCCACTTTTTTAACCTTTTTTTTTTTTTTTTTTTTTTAGCACAAACACATTTGTTTACTAACCAAAGGGATGATCCTAATTAAATCAACACTTGGAAATAGTTGTACGTAAAGTGTTTGCGGTAAAGGTAATTGAATACAGTAATGAAAAAGAAAAGTAGTATGAAGATTTGCTCATTGAACTGAGCTTGTTCATTCTCGCAGCTAATTCCTGTCTGAAGTGATGATGGAATTTTTATTCTACTTTCTCACAGACTCGAGTACAGGTGACATTATTTGTGGTACAGTCCACCACTAATTTTCCATCTTGCAATTTTCTTGTTATTGTGCTTTCTTTCCCATCCCTTTCTTGATGTTGAACCAATGCACCGCCCTTAAAGTCACAGACAGTCTGAGTTTTTCTGCCATCAGCTGTAGTTTCTTCAAACTTTTCTCCCAGGATACAAGAAAATTGTGTTGTTTTTAAAGTGCTCTCAGTTTTTACGATGAGGTTATTCCCACACAAGTGATAATACAATCTGCTTTGGCCATTGCACCCATTTTTCGCAGAGCCATTCCCACACCTACTTCCTTCATGTGCTCTTCAAAGCCTTTGCTGTCCACTAGGCGCCATCTTCCTTGCAGCTGCTGATGGTCGGCCATGGTGGGCGCGGGCGGGCGGGCAGGCACAGCAGACAGGGCAGGGACCCGGGCGAGGAGCTCGCAGTGCCCTGGCATGAGTTTAAGTCACCAGGTCCAAGACTCGAACCACAGTTGATTACATGGGAGTCCAGCGATGTAACCATTATGCCAACTGTTGGTCCCAACTTATAGTGAATTTAAACCTGACTATCCAGTCCAAATTGCCTAAGGTTTTATTTTCAGTTTGTCTCTAATTATTCTGCTTCTTGGCAGAGAAAAAAATGTTCTCAATCCACTGCAGTTTTGCTCTTTTACTTTTTGTATTTTCAAATACAACTTTCTCAAAATACTTTTTTTAATCTGTTTTCACTTTATTAGAGGTAATGGTATTTTTTTTAATTCTTTTTTTAAACTTTATTTATTTATTTATTTATTTAAATTTGACCAGAGAGGGACTGAGTGAGAGAAAGAGGAGAGTGAGAAAGGCAAGCTGCCAGGTCCAGGACTTGAACCACGCTCTGCCACATGGGAGTCCAGCATCCTTAAACACCACACCACCTGCTGACCCTCTTTTTTATAATTTTTATTTATTTATTTATTTATTTTAACAAAGCAAAGGCATTTATTATAGGAACGTTCTTGAGCCATACTGGAAAGACGACCATGCGGGTGGAGGTGGAGCGGGGTAAGCCCACCAGCTTGAGGGCCACGCCCTCGCTCACACTCCAGCTCTCCCTCATCTGAGACCTGGGTCTCTCCCCGCCCCCACATACACAATGCAGGCCACCAGAGACACAAAGGGGCGTTCTCCTTGCGGGAGGGTCCCTGTCAGTGAGTTTTCTCTTTTCCAGCAGGAACAGCCCCTACTCCAGACAGGACGTCACCCCCTACCCCAAGTGCACACAGATCTCAGCTGACGGTTTCATCAGCCACAGAGGCGCTTCCCCAGGCCAGGCAGGGGCAGCAGGGGCCTGGGGACCTAGGTGAGGATGTCATGGGCCTGGTGCTCCACCAGCATCTCCATGCTCTTCACGTCAGTGCACCAGAGCTCCAGGCGGTCCTTCATGCCCTTGATCTGCTGCAAATCCAGCACGCGGGGCTGCACCCAGGTCATGTGGACGCGCTTATCCACCTCGTCGATGCTGCCTTTCACCAGTCCCACCGACAGGGCCTTCATCACCAGCAGCTCCACCTCGTTCACTGTGATCTTAGCACTTTTGGCGATTTCTTCAAAAGTGAGTTGTCTGTGATTGGCAGGTCGTGTGAAAGTCATCTCCATGAGGCACAGCAGCTGGATCTTCCTCAGAAGCTGGGCTTCATTGACTGCTAGGTCAGGCTGCTGGCCCCAGGCAGTCTTCAGAGCCTGGAATCTCTCCACGCTCTCACTGTTGAAGGCATACAGGGTGTCAATGAGCCACTGGTGGTCAGTGTTCCTCAGCGATTCCAGCACAGGGTGCATGAGGAGTTCTCCAAAGTTAAAAACTCCCTCGCCAAGAAGCCCTGCCAGTCCCAGTGTGAAGGCTCTCTCCTGCTGCTCAGACACTGGTAGATCCTTGATGTCGACACAGCCCAGAAAGCGCAGAGCATCTTTGTAATAAGATGCATGATTTCCAATTGTTTTATAGTATTTACTGGAGAGATCGTAGAAACAACTATGAACTGATGTCACACCAGGGAGGTTGTTCAGCATTTCCTCAACATCTTTGATGGTTTCCTTTGTAACCTGCAGGTCTCCAATGTTTAACTTCAGAGCTCCGATCGCTGTTTTGCACAGGATCACTGCCTCATCACTACTTTTCGCCTTCTCACGTGTCTTTTCCAGAAAAGTAAGAGCTACATTAGGATCAGTCATCTGTCTCACTACATGGAGAATGATTTCTACCAGGGACAAAGGGTTCACCCTGTGCTCAAATTCACTGATGAAGTTTTCATAAAGCTTAATGAGACCACCTCCTTGGGCAAAGCACGGGTCCTGCACAAAATCAAGCACCTGAAGTGTCAACTGATGCCACAACTTTTTCGTGTAGAGCTCCTCTAGATGGTGCCACACGGCAGGCCTACCCCGGCCCGGAGCTCTGGCTCTGCTGTAGGAAGCCCGGTACGTCCTTCATGACTGCAGGACGAGCCCAGGACAGAGGAACAACTGAGATGTCAGCGCCGCAGGGATCTAATTTTTATTTATTCATTCATTTTATTTTTTAAATTTGAACAGAAAGACACAGAGTGAAAGAGGGAAAGTGAGAAAGCAAGC